CTCCAAAATTAAGTAGGACCTACACCCTAGGCTCTGATACCATCTTACTGTCACGCCCCGAAACTGTAGCGAAAATTCATAAAATACGGGGTACGCGACAGCAGCGACCCGTACACAAGACTAGCCTTATGCACGAGTCAGGCCTGACACTTCATATCACATAGTTTATCACAAAATTTTTATAAACCTGTTGATGATAGAAGTTCAGAAAAACTATATATGCATATAATCGGTACTTACAACCCACGAGCTCACTGTCATAAGCATTTCACAAAATAAAGCATAATCTTCATTGTATGTAACATTCAAAAAGGAGACTTTTCCTATAACGCCTCTCAGCAAAACGCTACAACCAAAAGCTTGGATAGTATGAAGCTACACCGAATCTGAATTTTTTTTTTTAAAACAACGGGGTGAGCTAGAGCTCGGTGAGAACATTTCCCACTAGAGTTCCTAGATAACTAACAAAATAATAATAAGAATAATTATCAGAATAACGAATTATAAGTTTTGCACCAGAAATTCAAAAATAGCAAAATACGATCCAAACATCATAATATTGTCATCTACAAGAAAGAATACAACAGTTACATTTTCTTTCTTATGTGTAACTGAACATACTGTAATATTTTATTAAAATCAGACCCTTTCGAATCAAGGTAAACATTAACAAGAAAATATATTACTAAATTAGGTACAAAACCAGAGGACTATTATTTTCTCAATTTCACAGTCAATTGTCAGAATCTTAAATCTCGATGAATCGTATTCTTCAAATTCACGCTCAAAACTCAAAATCACAAATTTATTACTGTCAGACAATGTGGACTCTAGATGTGGCTCCTACAGGCTCTAGAGGTGGCTCTCATCGTGTCCACACGGTGTAGCACTTAGCCCCGTATAGCACTTATCTCCACATTTCCGGCTAGTAATTCATAAAACACAAGAATCACCTCATATATCACACTAAGGCTACGAATTATAGCCCAGTAGCATGAGAATGCATAAAACGTATCAGATAACAGATAATTCTCGAGAATCGAATGCACCTAATACTGCCATAGGTTACTGACGAAAACAAAGGGGCCAAAACAAATTTCAGAAGGGCCAATACAGAGGAGCCAAATAAAGGTGCATTCACCATATGACAGGCAGAATCACTTCATAGTGGACTTTTGAAGGTTTGAAAACATCGAGAATCACTAGTCAAATCAGAGATACCGTGCTTATCAGAATTTACAAATATTTTCAAATGAAGTGTACGAGGGTGAACTCTCCATTCCAGTTAAAACAGTTCACAGATTTCATTTTTCTTTATTTTTATCAGATACTAAGTCACAGAAATTCTTTGAATCCATTAAACTGTCGAAGCACATTCTTTTCTTTATTTTTATCAGATACTAAGTCACAGAAATTCTTTGAATCCATTAAACTGTCGAAGCACATTCAAAATATTTCTTTTCTTCAAAAGCTTTCAAATAAAGCAATTCCCACAATTATTTGAAATCACATGAGAACCAAATTCATAATTCATAGTTCATATAAAATCAAATTGACTTTTTTCATATCTTATACAAAATCAACATCGTATTACGGCTTAGGCCATAACAAAAGTAAATCAATCACCTTTAAGTTTATATACATGAAAATGATATATTATTTATTTTTCGATCACAAGATAAATCAATTATAATACTCATGCAATTTCATATTATAAAATACTAGTGAGAAATGAACTCACCTCCACTGAGTACAGCTTCCTCAAAACATTACTTTCCAGATATCAAATCTGAACCTATAATATAGAATAATAAGACTATTATTAGTTCACTATAATACATATTATAAGTTAATCATTTCATATTCTAGAGTTAATAATTTCAAATATAATCCCTATCAATTTAAAATCCATAAATAGGGTAGATATGGATTTATTTCTAACTTATGATGAGGCAGGGGGTTATGGGTAATTAATCCAGCCCAAAAGTGATCTCTTAATCTTCAAATTGGACTTATTTGTAAACAAAGCAAATAACAGGGGTCGATACGAAGTTATCCTGTCCGTATATGATCTTAGATTTCTCTGATAGGGTTCATTTGTGAATTTTTAAACTTTCAGGGGTCCTAAAGATATTTTTATTCCTCTTGGACCCATATACAAACTAAAAATATTTTAGGGGTCCCAAACTAATTTTGCTATTTTATTCTTTTATTCTCTTTTTCTCTCTCCTCTTCTTCTTCCCCGTTACTTTTCTTCTCATCATCATTTTTTCGGTTTCTTTCTTCTCCTCTCTCTCTCTCTCTCTGCCTCCTCTGCGGCACCAAGTTGGCACGACTGCTCAAGCTCCGTCGTCGGAGCAGTCACCCGGAGGCGAGCCTTGCCCGACGCCGGCGGTCAGGTAAGTGTTCTCTTCTTTTTTTTCTCTTTTTTCCAATTTCTTAAGAAATCAGATACTTTAACCCCATGAAATCAAAGAATTCAACAAAGAGGATAGTTCATACCTTTGGATAGTCTTGAATTTTGATGAAATTCCTCTTTTTCTTTTTCCATAATCTTCTTCTTCTTCTTTTCTTTTCTTTTCCTCTATTTTTTTCTGGGGGTTCCCCTTTTCAACCTCTTTTTATACTGATGAGAGGCGGTGTAAATTTTTCACCAACATAGGTGAGGCGGTGAAATCACCGACATAGAAACAGTGTGATTGATTTTTTTTTTGGGCTGTTACAAATGGTCACTGTAGAAATGGTGGCCGGGGTAAGTAGGGGTAGATAGTTGGCTGGGGTATGTAGGGGTAGATAGTCAGTGATGATTTTCACACTACTCATCACTGACTTTTCTATCCTTCTAAATTCTACAAACTTTGAAGAACGTAGTGCTTTGGTGAATATGTCAGCTATTTGTTCATTTGTCCTGATCGGCATCATTATGATCTCCTCTTGAAGAACGTTCTCTCGTAGAAAGTGATGATATACTTTGGTATGTTTGATCCTAACATAAAATACTGAATAATCTGCCAATCGTATTGCAGACTGATTATCGCAATGTAAGACTACTGAGTAGTCTGTGGATTGATGTAGATCCCTCATTAACTAAAAAAGTCACATACTTTCCTGAGTTGCCATCGTTGTTTATGTATACTCGACCTCTGTAGTTGACAGTGAGATTGCCTTTTGCTACACCAAGATATAGTTGTTGAATCGAGATCAAACATGTATCCAGTAGTAGACCTCCGAATGTTATGATCTCTAGCATAGTCAGCATCACAATAGCTATAGACCTTACACTCTTCTCCTTTCTTATACATGAGTTCATACTTAATTGTACCCTTGACGTACCTTTAGGATCCTTCAGATTGCTTCTTAGTGAGACTTCTTTGGCTTCTGTATGTATCACTCATCACACCAACCGTAAATGATATATCTGGTCTTATCATCATTAGATAGATTAAGATTTCAACTAGTTGTCGATACATAGTTGGATCTTTCAAATCTTTTCCTTCATTTGCACACAGCCTCAGGTTTGTCTCCATCGGTGTTGAGATTGACTTGTAGTTGAACATCCCGTACTTGAGCAACATGTATTTTGCATATTTTTATTAGCAAAGAAATAATTCATTCTTCCTTCGGTTGACCTCCAATCTAAGGGAATGCTTGAGTTCCCCAAGCTCCTTCATTTGAAACCTAACTGAGAGATTTGTCCTTATTCTCTGGATTTCTGCTTCATCATCTCCAATTAGGATTAAGTCATCTACATAGACCAACACAATTGCTAGCTTTTTGCCAGTCTGTTTGACAAATAAACTAGAATCTGCAGGGACAAGAGAGTATCCATTTTGAATTAAGAACTCACCAATTTTGTTATACCAGGCTCTCGGAGCTTGCTGTAGTCTATAAAGAGTTTTTTTAGTTTATAAACATATCTTTCCTTCTCATTGCTCCCAAATCTGATGGGTTGCTCTATGTAAATCTCTCGATCCACCTCACCATGTAGAAACGTATTCTCCACATCTGTCAGCTAGAACTTCCAACTCTTGCTGGCTACTAGAGCTAGAAGAACTCAAACTATTGCTATCTTAGCAACTGGACTGAATGTCTCATCATAATCTAGTCCATACTGTTGAGAAAATCCTCGAGCCACCAAGCGTGATTTGTATCTCTCAATCGTCCCATCCGTTCGAGTCTTGACGTTATAAACTCATTTGCAGGAGATAGGTTTGGCATCCTTAGGCTTCAGCACCAACTCTCAAGTTTAGTTCTGCTGCAAAGCTTGAATTTTTTCCTCCATTGTTCGTCTCCATTCAGTAATTTTGTATGCTTCCTCGAAGCTAGATGACTTCTTCACATCTTCCATAATAGCAACATTAGTATACTTACGATTCAGCTTCCTAGGTCTGGTAAATCTTCGAAACTGTTCTACTGGTTTTTCTTCAATATCCTCTATCTGACTTGGGCACACTACTTCTGGTGTTGTCTGATAAGATTATTCTCCTTTAAGAATGTTGAAGAAATCAACCCGGTCTTCTTCTTAACTTCGCTCCTCCAACTTCTCTTGTAGTCGATCCTCCAGATCTTTAGGATCTGGTAACACAACTTCTTGTGAAGCCCACGGAGATGAGGCCTTGTCAAACAGAAGAGTGGTGGACACTAAGAAATATATTATTATTACTTCTTTAGTAGTACAACCCTCTATACTCTCTCCGACACAAACACTTTCTACTACAAGTTACTACACTACTACACTCTTTTACAACACACCACTCTTTTTCCTATTCTCTGTCCCTCTCTTTATTTCTTTCACTCCCTCTTTATTCTTGCTCTTTGGCTTGTTGCTATTGGGATGGAATACACAGAATGTTTTTGGGGGTTACTTATAGCCTTCATATCGTGATTGGTAAACAATATAGACGGATATGTGGTTATTGTCGGTTACTGTAGAAATGGTGGCTAGGGTAGGTGGAGGTAACTCAGTGATAATTTTCACAAACTACATACTAAACAAATCATACAAAAACAGTAATCTCTCCACTACTTTTTTTGTAGTGGATAGGATCCAAATCCCAGTTGTCCAGTGGGGTTTACTGTGATGGATGAATATTAAAATGTATAAGCAGACCCCTACAAACAAGTCAATATATTACAGTTCAAAGGGGCTCAATTCCAGAACACCAAGGTAGCAAACATGAATATGTGCAAGACATGAGTACGTTTTAGATCACACTACAAGCCTTCCTCCTGTGCAAAACGCCCACTCATCAATAGAAGGTGGCCAGCTGTAGAGAAAATAAGACAAAATACAAAGAGAAATTTAAACAGGATCTTAATGAACCATAACAAGTTTTCTAGAATCAGAGTAATGACTAAACATGTTTCTCAGAAGAATAGTTTGATTGCCTCCTCATCTTTAAGCTGATTGTCTGACATGGCACTATTATCAGATATTTAAAAAAATATTAAGGATAACGGTAATGCAAAATTAAGTTTATCAGGGAAAATGCACATGAAACACACGAATATGGGCATATATCATTAACTATCACAGTTCAAATGTTTTTAAGAGGGGTCAGGAGGGAACATAAGAAGGATAAGGTGAAACAAGGAAAAAGTGAAAGAAGAATGAAATCATAATAATTCAGGCAAAACAAGATGCAACATCGTAAAAGGGGAAAAACTTTAATGTTTAAAAACATTCAAGGTAGGGTTGATGTGAACATGAACATATATCTCATGTATCGTACTTAAAATGTTTCTTTTTCTCATGTGTTTGTAGATTTTTATTCTTTTTTTTTACTTTTTTATTGGGGGTGGTGGGGTTTTTTTTTGGAGGGGGGGGATGCGGGCGTTTTTTTTTTTCCTTTTTTGTGTGGTGTGAGTGGGGGGTTGGGGGGGCAGGCGGCAAGAGGGATAAAGTGGCATAAGCCTGTACTAGAAAATGGCATAAGGAAAAGAAAGGGAAAACTCAAGAATCCAGGCAAAATAGAAAAAGTAAAATGCTACAAAGTTTTAAAACATTCAAGATGGAGTTGATAAACTAGGAATTGCGCTTAATGAACTTATGAATTACTTTTTTTTGGAAACTCCCCATGATCCATTTTATTATGCTATACTATATTTTATTGTATATTACTATTACGCATACACTAACAAGAACAGTTTTGACGCATGTATGAGATATTTCTTTTGTCTTTTTTTAGTTAGAATATAACAACTATGAGCAAATTGATCACCACAAATAAGATGCTGAAATATCACTTGATAACTGTAAGAAGCATAAAGAACAGGTCAAAACCATTAATGCCGCTTCCAGAAAAGGGTATGAATGAATCAACTAGGGAAATAAACTTTAAGACAAAGAATGAAGTATACCTTTCATCTAACAAGACATCATCGTCTTCGCACGAATTGATTATTCATTCTTCATAAATGCTGGGTTTAAGTTATTAGATCAAACAAAAGGATCTAAAAATGACTAGAAATGCACGAGTCAAATGACCAGCCCCAGTATTTTAAGATCATGGTCCCTGGAAGACTATCAACCTTTTCTTTAACCAACAGTCAGACATCAACAACAAGAATAAGTTGAAAAGAAAAAGTAGATTGTGAAAGGGCACCCTACTTTGTGGATATTGTTTAAATCAAAGTACAATCAAGCAATTCCAGAAGAAAAAGAGATCAAAGAATCTCTTCCACATTCAAATTCATGGCCAGCACAGGAGGCAGCTAATGGTACATGCATGGTTGCACTTGCATAAATAAGTGACATCCAAAGAAACTTAAAAGAGTAAAGGGAATTATAAGCAGCACAAACTAAATAGCAATAAGCAATTCCAAATATAAGGAAACTCCATACATCTCCAACTTATTTATCGGAGCTGAGTTTAAGTATAAATCTTCAAGACATAATGTAGAGGGTATAACATTACAACTATCCTCATTATTGCCATTCACGAGCACAAAGTGTATGGTCATTATTACTGGCAGTAAGTAAAATATGTATAGCAAAATTGAATAGATTTGATCCCCCAAGCCCCAACCCGAAACAACAATAGAAAAACATAAAAAGACAAAAAAAAAGGAACAATACCCAACCATCATCAAAAGAAGGAAATGGTTGTCTATACAATTTGCATGACTTGCTCCTAAAAAGAGATAAAAGAAGGAAATGGTTGTCTATACAATTTGCAGCTATAGTCACTGTAAAAATCATAATGTTGCATAGAGGAAAATTCACAATGCAACGTTTGATGCATGCAAAGCATTTTATAGTACTCCATGGCTACATTGCAAGAACATGGTTAAAGAGGTACCAAGTGCTATGAATTTTGAACAAAAAAATATTCCAAGACAATAAAACCTCCTTTGCTGTTGGTTCATGGGGAAAAAAATTACTATCAAGGCTTATTGACACCAGAGACTCAGATCAGCACTAAGGGTGACAAACTAGCACAGAAAAATTACCTAAATGAAATAGCAGTGTTTGAAACAAATTTATTTACCAATTTATCTGAAATGATCCACCATCCTTGTCATGTAATTAAGCCATTGGCGGCCTCAATTCATGATCTTTCGAGATATCACGAGCAGCAGGAGGCATCCACTGCCACATAGGAAATGGTCCATAGCTAGGGAAAGCAACCATCTTGTTTGCTCCAGGGTGATAAGCTGCTGGAAGTGGGGGTACATACCCAGCTGGTACCATCGACATGGCTTTCACATGTTCTTCCATCTTTTCTTTCTCGGATTTCATTAGGGATTTCTCTTCCCGAAGTTCATGTTTTTCCTCCTGAAATTGGTTTCAGTTTTCATTTGAGATATTGGAGGGAGGACAAATTTTCAAAACAGACCCCTTTAGAAACTTATTTTCAAAAAACGGCCCCTTTTAAAAGTATTTGTCATTTTCGACCCAGTTTCAGCCACCTGGCTGAAACTGGGTCGAAAGTGGAGAAAAAAATCAAAAACTTCACGGGATTATAAATCCCGTGAAGTTTAAGGCATCATTTAAGGCCTCATTAGCGCTAACCCAAGCGCTAATGAGGTCTTAAACTTCACGGAATATTAAAATCCTGTGAATTTTTTGATGTTTTTTCGTCATTTTTGACCCAATTTTAGCCAGGTGGCTGAAACTGGGTCGAAAATGGCAAATATATTCAAAAGGGGTCGTTTTTTAAAATAAGTTTCTAAAGGGGTCTATTTTGAAAATTTGCCCTTGAAGGAAAGCATGCATCAAGAGGCAGATGCTGATCAGGTACATAAGACTAGGAAATATTTGTTACGGCACCTAGCAAGGTTAAGTAAACAAACTGATGAAACTTACAAAATAGGAGGAAATGATTAGGGTATAAGCTGAAGGAATCAACACAGAGGATTATTATCAACAAGAATAATTAGCACTTAAGTAAAAAATTGACAAATAAATGACAAAATGAGGACTTCTTAGACTAAAGGAGTCTATCAAGGCAATAACTGCATGCAATGCCATACAATGCAGGCGTAACTATTAAGAATTCTGTATTACGAAATAGATATTCGGATATTTGATGAGAAGAAACAAATACGGAAAATGCTTCAGAATGTAACAATTAATCTGTCTTACATAAAGAGACCTAACAAAGGTGAAACCAAAATTAAGTTGGAAACTGAATTCAGAAGTTCATGACAGCATTATTATGGGGATACAATACAAAAAGAAATCTGTACAGATGAACTCCAGCAAAAAAGGTATAGGTTTTAGTTTGCATCTTTAAAGCTTTCGCCGAATCAGATAAATGAATTAAAGCATTATTATCGAGATCCAACAGACAAAGTGGCCAAGAATCAAGATAGTTATGCACTGCAAGTAGAATATTATAAACTCAATGAACATGTAAGCCAACGGTCAAATTGTTCCAACTTCTCAAATACTAGAGGATGTCTAGGAACAAATTTCATATCATTTGTGTTCATCTTCCAGAACTTCATGACAGGATGAGGTTCAATATCCTCCACAACTTTCTCCGCTGCTTTGAATGCAACGTACAACAAAAACAACATCATCATCATCATCTTCCCTGGTAGCATCTGAAATATAAGCAAGAAGAAGAAACTCCAATCTTCTAAATCACATGTAACATTGTATTTTCTGCTAATGAGATAAAAATCACCTTGAGAAACGGAGGAAATGGCTCTAGGATCAATGTCACATTCAAGAACAGGGATGCTGATATTGCCAGCAGATTTCTAGTAGAGCAGATTTTGGATAGATATGCCACTTCAGGTGCTTTACAAATAAAAAACTACTGGTTTCGAAAGGAATTTGGATGAAGACCTTTCATGATATCAAATTATTTCAGAACAAGGTAGAGACTGGAAGATGAGTAAAAATATCGGAAAGGGGAAGGGGAAAAGATTTAGGAGAAAGAAATGAAGACAGCAAAAAAATTGAAATACAGGCTTTTCAATAGCAATCAAATCCTCAATACTTTGAATTAGTAAATATCACTTTAATTTGAGCAGCCTAAACCAAACCAAACACCTTTTTAAATTAGAAGCAAGGTTTTAAATATCGGATATCGGGGAAATATCGGATGGTCAAAATTCATATCGGATTGCGGATATCGGGGAAATATCGGGGATATGTGGTAAATATCGGAATGCCATAATGAATGCTTGCATACATAGTATAATGCATTAAAATGTAATCTCAACATATGTAATGAAATTTAAGCATACAAAATATGAATAATATATGTTTAGGATCATCAACCTTCTAAAACAAATAAAAGTGCAAAGCAACGTTGCAACATTCGATCTGCTTTTTTTAGGGCAAAATGTCATTTGATATAATGGGGAAATCTTGATATCTCGTCCAAAAATTCCAAACACGGTATATTATTTTACAACAAGCTATATAAAAAGATATATTGGTCCACATATCGGCTAATATATCGGCCATATCGGGGATTTATCACTCAAAATAGCCAAAAAGCGATAAAGGATATTTAAAGACCATATCGGTTGCGGCAAGCCCTGTAAAAGGATATATCGGGGGATATATCGGGCCATGTTGGGGATATTTAAAATAATGATTAGAAGATTATCATGTTGTTTCCTAATGTTTTACATTCTTTTGTTTGTTTTGTTTTTCTTTTGGGTTTGTCTTGTGGTACCATGGAAACTTTCTGTCATGATGTAACCATCTGTATCTAGTCACGAACTAACAAAGGTGAGATCACTTGCAGATTATATTGGTTCTACATTTTAGTAATTATAATAAATAAATCTCAGGACATATGCCTACCTCTTGCCTTAATAAATATGATAGTACCGAATGCAACATGTTTTAGAAGACACTATATCTGTGACTGAAGTTATATGAAAAGGGCTTGCTCACCTTTAAACTTTTAATTTCTTCTTCAAGCTTTCTATTGGCCTCTTTAAGATCCTTAGCTTCAGCTTTCAGCTGATTTAAAATACGAAGTGCATCATCCAGGATTGCCGATTTGTCAGTTTTGACAGGCCTTCCAGGGTCCAGAATTTTGCTCAGTTCTGAAAATCTAGAACAAAAATGACCATCTGTTAGATACTTGAAACTCCACCTTTAGACATGAGAAGTTATATCATGTTCTCCGATAACAAAATTGTTACTAATTTGGAATTAGTATGTTGATAACGAACAAATATGTTCAAATGCCAGGTGAAGGTTGAAAATTTATTGCAACGATAACTGTAAAAAGAATTGTGAGGTTTCTCTAATTACAGTACTGCATGTTTGCACTATCTGGAAACTAGCCATAACCCTTCATTGAAAATTGAAAACAGATCTCTTCTTATAGATACTTACCTGTATAAGACAATAAATCTTTGAATATTATTTAATTTCTGTAATATTCTTCAATTTATTTGGCTATAAAAAATACTGAAATTTTGATAAGGAAGTTCTCCATGTATGGCACAGAATTGTAAAGCTTGCCATGTTCTATTGTGAGCAGAATGCTCAAGTCTACTATGTCAGCACTTATAACTTATGTTCAAGGTTGCTGATAGCGGATCGCGGCGCGTCGCGGCGAGGTACCGCTAAGGCTATATCGGGCTATTGTGGCGAAATCGCGGCAAATAGCGCACAATCAAATAGCGGTTAAATTTAAATATATTTAAATATCCTAAATAATAAGAAAATTCATAAAAAAAATCTAAAAATTCAATTAGTTGTAAATTTCTTGTATTATCAGTAAATAACAATTAGTAGGCTTGTTGTATGAATGAAACTATGAAGAAATTCAAAAAATATAGCATCATAATATGTGTGATAGCGGGTTTAGCCGCTTTTAACCGCGAAAATCCGCTTTTAACCGTGAAAACCCGCTTTTAACCCGCTAAAATCCGCTTTTACACGCTATTCGAATGAATAGCGGATTTTCCCGCTTAAGCCAACCGCGAAACCCCTACACGTAGCGCTGAAGGGCCGCAACCGCTATTCGCGCCGCTATAGCCCCGCTATTGGCCGCTATTTACAACACTGTTATGTTCAATGATAACAAACAACTTCAGCATATAACAGAGTGCCAAGGCTTGTATTCTTAAGCTCTCCTTAATCACAGAGGGATCACTTTAGATACTGATCCAAGAGGATCACAATGCATCAAAGATAACAAATTCTGAGTTCCACTTCCAGCAAACAAACACCAATTTCTGAGAATTATTCAAAGCAGATCGACCAAACCTAATTAAACGCTTATCTAGTTAGCTTTTGAAAACACCGAGAATGGTGCAAAAATTACTGCAAGAAAGGGAGATGTGGAGGGGGAAAAAACAAGTCAGAGGTGAAGAGTTTTGTA